AGCCTTCCAAGTAGCTGGAACTACAGGCGTGCGCTACCACGCCCGGCTAGCTTTTGATTTATTGTAGAGACGAGGTCTCGCCAAGTTGCCCGGGCGGATCTCGAACCCGTGGGCTCAGGCAATCCTCTCGCCTCAGCCTCCCAAAGTGCTGGGATTACAGGCTGAGCCACCGAGCCCGGCCAAGATGACAACTTTAAATTGCTTTAAAGCATAATTTTATTCCCATTATTATTTAAAACAATCTTTTATTCCCAGAGCCCTAACCTATAACCATCCTATGTCCTTTTATGCACAGATGGAGGAAAGGTGGACAATACCCTCTCCAAGCTTTCAGACACATTGCTATCAGCCTTGGTTCACTCTCCGCATCATTGTGTGGTCTGGCTTGCCTGGCTGTTTCTTCTTCAGCACCAGCAATGGCTTACTGGATAAGATTGGCAAGTCGAGCAAGGCCATGCCAGGAGAGAAGGGGGCAGGGAGCAAGTAGGAAAAATGTACACTTTTGAATCCAAGCAGTTTTTCTGTGTAGCCCAACTCAGCTAGCTACAAAAGAATACAAGTTTTTAAGACTTTTCTAAATGACTGTTCTAATATAACCAAAATGGCCTCTTTTCAGCCTATAACATCTCAACTATGTACATCTGTAATGACCCTATTTTTCAAGTAAGATTACAATCTGAGGTACTGGGGATTAGGAGTTCAACATATGAATTTGGGAGGGGACAAAATTCAACCCATAACTGACAGTAGGCTTTTACTATGTAATTGCTCTGTCAGGAAAAAAAAAATAGCTGAAGGGAGACAGGAGTGTGAAAGTGCAGAGAAAAATACACCTGTAACAATTTTAGTGTTGTTGGTATTGGCTGTAAAATATCTGCTATATTTTGGTGTTTGGGTCCAGATTAGTTAAGAATTGGGAACTGAGTCTGGCTCGTCAATTTCCCATTTTTGATGCAATTACAGATGATAATGGCTACCATGATATATTGAGCCCTTGCTATGTCAGGCACTCATACTAGGTACTTTATATTCTTGTCATCGTCACATTGTTCAAACAGTAACCCTGTTTGGGTAGGTGGTATTATGCTCACTTTTACAGGTGAGAAAATGAAAACTATGTAAAATCCAAACAAGTTACCATCTATAAAAAAGTAAAGACCATTACTGGTACCATGTTATAAGAACAGAGTCAGTTATTGTTTACATCTGCTTCTGCTTCTAATTCTAAGTTAGCATGTCTTTGTCATGTTGTTTTTATCAGGTCTAACAAACCGGCTGCTATCCCTTGTAGCCAATTAAAGATGAGAGGCAGAAACTGAAAGAAAAGGGGTTTAATTTCTGCAATGAGGTTATAGGGAGAGGGGTTAGCATTATTATCAAAAACCCGCTCAACCAGGCAGATTTCATATTCAGTACTTATAGCTAAAACAGGCGGTGTCTTATTTATTTTAACAATTAATGATGTCTACATGCCCTGTGACTATTACTCAGAGTCCTTCTTAATCAGCACTTAGTCTTCTCAGTACCTATTGACATAAACCGTGTTTAAATTGCATTAATCTTGTTTTTCTTTTAAGTTACATGTTTTTTAAAAATAGTTTCAGGCTGAGTTCTTTTCATTTAACTTTGATTTATTATTTATATACAACAAGTTCTGGGTCACACAAGACCCAACTAATGATTATACGGGACATAAAGCTAACTAAACACCGCAAGAAAGGGGTTTACATTTAAAGAAGTGAGTATACTTTAGGGATTTTAGGCAGTTTTAACTGAGTTTATTTTTTATCTCACAAAGTCTTCTTCAAAGACAAGTATCTCCCTCATTTCTCATACTTGTGACCAGCTGCTTGTTTACCAGCACCAGCTTGCTAGATAAAATTGACCTTTCAAACCAGTCCCGCAAGGCTGTGCTAGGAGAGGAGAATGGGGGTTGCATTTCAAGGGCAGTGAGGAAGGAGAAGGAAAAATGTGTTCTTTTAAATTCAAGCAACTTCTACCTTTAGCTCCACTCAGCTACAAAAGAAAGTTTCCTAGTACAAGTTTTTAAGTCTTTTCTAAATGATTGTTCTAATAAAACCAAAATAGCCTAGCCTATAACAATGTGACTTGGTAGCATCATCTGTTAAAGCAATTCAAGCAGTTTCCTAATCAAGCATATGTAAGAATGACTCAAATTATATCCTCTCTTAGCTGGGTGTGGTGGTGTGCACCTGTAATCCTAGTTATTTTGGTGGCTGAGGTGGGAGAATTACTCGAGCCCAGGAATTTGAGGCTACTGTGAGCTGTGATCACTCCATCTGTACTCTAGCCTGGGTGACAGAGTGAGACCCTTTCTCTTAAAAAAAAAAAAAAAAATTATATCCTCTCTTATCTGAGGTTGTCATTAGCTGACCAAAGATCCAGGTTACTTTTTTTTTTAATTGAGGTAAAATGTACGTAACATAAAATTTACCAGTTTAAAGTGAATAACCCTGTGGCATTTAGTACATTTACAATGTTATGCTACCTTCACATCTATCTAGTTTCATAACATTTTCATCACCCCAAAGGGACTCCTCCTCCCTCAGTCCCTAGTTTTTCTGTCTTCAGATTTACTTGTTCTGGATATTTTATCATATAAATGGAATAATACAGGAAGAACCTTTTGTGTCTGGCTTCTTTCACTTAGCATAATGTGTCAAGGTTCATCCATGTTGTGTCATGTATCAGTGCTTCGTTTCTTTTTATGTCTGAATAAGCCATCATATAGACTACCATATTTAACTTAGACCACATTTACTTATCAATTAATGGGTATAGGGTTGTTTCCATGTTTTGGTGATTGTAAATAGTGCTGTTATGAACATTCATGTACAGGCTTTTGTTTGAATAGCTCTTTTAGTTCTTTGGGATACATACTTGCTGGGTCATATGATAATTCTGTATTTACCTTTTTGAGAAACTTTCTGGTTCGGCTAAATGACTCTTGATGTCATTATTTATAAGAGGGTTTCCATGTAATACTGCTTTACGTTGTTACATCAGCTTTGGTAACTAGGGTTCTTGGCAAACAGCAAGTGGAATTAGTTTTGTATTTTTCTCATATTGTTCTAAAACAAAGTATGTTTTTTATGTGGATATAATTAACATTGGGCTCTTAATATTGAGTGCTTGTTTAATACAGCAAAGTTTAGAGAGGAAAATTCTATTACTGAGTCCATTTTATAAAGAAATTGGGGTAGAGTATGTAACCTGGTGAGGGCAAGTGGCAGAAATGATATTGACTCCAGAGCCCATAATTTTAACTACTTCCTCCAGCCATGATTCTCTCCATTAAAACTGGAAATCCTGGTTTGCCTTGCCTTCTCTTCTCTGACATCGGTGTCATGAAGGAGTCCTCTGAAGGGGGCCTCAGATGACCATTGGTGTGCTCATTGCAGGTTCCCTGCCTCTGCAGTGGTGCATCATGTTTGCTGTGTAGTTGCTGTCCCAACTGTAAGAATTCCATGCTGACTCGCCTCATTTACGCGTTCATTCTCCTCCTGGGCACTATTGTGTCCTGGATCATGCTGCAGAAGGAGATAGAGCCTCAGCTGAAGAAGGTGAGGAAAAGTAACAGTACCTTTCTGTGCTGTTATGTTAATTTTCATGTTTTGCAGAATTTAGTTGTAATTCTTATTTATTGCCTCACTGTTAAACACACTCAAGTTCATTGTAATTTTGGGATTTTTACTTGCTTGGGAGTGTAGTCAAGACACAGAATATTAGTTCTTTTCCAGAAATACAGAATGGACATTTTTAGGCTCTAGTCTAACAACTGAGAGAAAACATAGTAAAAGAGTGGTCCAAAAGCATTCTCTTTCCTTGTGTGTTAGATTTCCACATCTAAACAAGACTGGTTCTTCATATTTGGAAAGAGTCCATTGGAGCTGGAAAATCTCATGGGAAAATGGGAGATAACCTCATCAGTATAAAAGAGCCAAAGACATAGAGCACTTGACTTTTAAAATGCAAGTTGTTTATGCTGTTTGGTAGCAAGATTGTAAATGAATTAGAAGGCCAGGAGAAAAATCCCACAGACAGTCTTGCAGTTGATGAGTGGTTAATTTTATAAATACCCACTTTTCTGTGGTGGGATAGAATTTCTTTTAAATGTGGATATTCCCATAGCATTGAAATTGCTTTTTTCAGATTCCTGGATTCTGTGAAGAGGGATTTAAAATCAAGGTGGCTGATATAATGGCGGATAAAGATTGTGATGTGCTGGTCGGCTATAAAGCTGTATATCGGATCAACTTTGCCTTGGCCATCTTTTTCTTTGTTTTCTCTCTGCTCATGATTAAAGTAAAAACAAGTAAAGATCCCAGAGCAGCAGTGCACAATGGGTATGTAAGATTCATTTATTAACTTGTTATATTATGATGTGACTTCTCTTCAACAGTTAATGTTGCCATTCTGATGGAAGCAATGGAATATGTAAATCGTGACCCAGGTGTATTACATGTGTGAAATTGTTTTAATATCACGTTCAGTTAGAGCCCTGTAACATGAAGAGGGTGGGAAGTCTTACCTTTTGTTTTGTTTTTTTTAATTGAAGTCTCACTCTGTTGCCCAGGCTGGAGTACAGTGGCATGCTCATGGCCACTGCAGCCTTGAATTGCTGGACTCAGGTGATCCTTCCAAGTAGCTGGAACTACAGGCATGTGCCACTACGCCCATCTAAATCTTTTTTTTTTTTTAAGTTGGAATCTCACTCTGTTGCCCAGACTGGAGTGCAGTGTCCGCTCCTGGCCACCGCAGCCTCGACCTGCTGGGCTCCGGCGATCCTTACGCCTCAGCCT